CATCATCATCATCATCATCATATCAGCCGTTAACAGTCCACTATTGAACATAGGCCTCCTCCTATTGGGGGGGGGTATTACCAGCAGTTGCCACCCTTGACGGACGGGTTGCTAAGCGCAATTAGATGATATTTTATTATGTACATATTTGTATAATATGTATTTTAGTATTTTTCTTATGTATAAATAGAAATTAAATATTAGATAATTTAAGATTGTGTTCCACAATGACTTGTGGCAAAAACAAATTTCTTTTTGTAATTTTGATTGAAAATTAAAGTACTGTATATCCTTTCAGATAACAAAAGAATAATTCAAATCGGTTTATAACCATTTTACACTGTTAAATAATGCACGAGTGATCCCTGCATGGAATAAGCCACCCCTTCCTTTCCGTTGGGTGTCATAAGAGGCGATTAAGGGAAGTTATTGGCCGAAGAAATGGAAGGAGAAGCAGCGTTCCTCTTTAAACATCACCAATAGCTATGTAACTGCGATTGTCAACCCACCTACCAAGCGGGGCAACTATTGACAAAACTCGACAAGAGAGGGATACTCACTATGTTCACCAGTGGACAGGTGAGAGCTGAAATGATGATGCACTTCCAAGTACAGACATCGTCTGGATACAATCTTATTATATTAGAAAGAAGTATCAGAGGGAGACTTTGTACAAAAGTCGTTTGCTTGGATACCTCTGTCCCATTCGTATTTCTACCGTGAAGCAGTTGTGTTTGCATGGCTGTGTTTCGGTTTGAAGGATGGGATATGGCGTGAATTTATAGGGTACAGAGGAATAACATCTGAGTCCTCAATAAAGGCAACGCATGGGGGGGTATCATGGGCGAAACAGTATACTCTGTTATGTCCATGGTACTGCTCATGTCTATAGGCGACGGTTACCACTTACCATCAGGTGGGCCGTCAGCTTGTTTGCCATTCTAAGTTGTATAAAAAAAAGTAAGATAATACAATGGTGATGATGAAAGATGATGATGATGAAAGATTATGATGATGAAAAATGATGATGATGATGATACTACAAACTAGACACAAATCCTAATATTTGACAATAGAATGAATTAATAGTGATCGGTTTCATCAATTTACTACACATTGATACGGGGGAACAAAGCATCGACTGAATCCCAGAGATAAATAATTGAAATCCCCATCAAACGGATATATTTTAATATTCCCGAGGAGCATGTATAAGTTAAATTAATACGCGTGTACAGGGTGAAACCGTAATAAACCCGAAATACAGGCAGGTCAGTGTAAGCGGGCATTATCCGAGGACAATAAATAATATTTCTCATTACGCCCCTGCTACACGCCCCAGCCTGTACCCCATGCGCCCCCCTGTACAGCCGTGTAACGTAGGCACCCCTCTGAACTGTACGCGTACAAAACTGGCCAATTACAAATAGGTATTACATTCGAAAATCGAATCTTTTTTTATTTAACCGTGACGCAGACGTCATTTGCCGAAATTGATTTTATTATATTCTTGTTTCAAATTCTTCTTAACGGCTCTTTTCTTTTTTTCACACAACAATATACTTAATCTAATTTATATTTTATTGCTCGATATTCAGTAGTCAAAACGAAATGATTAGTTTATTATTTTATCTTTTTAAGTGGCTTCCAAAAATAGAAGATTTTTAACTCATCGGATTTTTTTACAACTATATCACACGATTATGTAGCTAAAAACATACCAACTGCTTAAAGGGAAACAAAATCTATTATGCGAACACGCAGTATATACAACGTGGTTTTCTGCGAAATAATTAAATAAATTCCCTCGCAAATGATACCAGAATGGCGCAGACCGTTCATGCTTTCAAAGCTTGAAGATTTTACAATACAATTGACAGTCGAGTTACTTATGTATATGTATAATAGTTATTCTATGTTTATATATTTATAATTTTTTTTACCTATACTTTGTTACTAACTATATAGCTTTTTTTATACAACTTAGAATGGCAAACAAGCTGACGGCCTACCTGATGGAAAGTGGTAGCCGTCGCCTACAGACATGAGCAGTACCATGGACATAACAGAGTATACTGTTTCGCCCTCGATACCCCCCATGCATTGCCATTCCTAAGGACTCAGGTGTTATTCCTCTGTACCCAGTAAATTCACGTCATATCCCACCCTTCAAATCGAAACACAGCCATGCAAACACAGCTGCTTCACGGTAGAAACACGAATAGGACAGAGGTACCCAAGCAATCGACTTTTGTACAAAGTCTCCCTCTATTATTTTTGCACCATATATGTTATGCTTTATATACAAACCCTATAGATACTTTCTCCTTTCGGGTTCACAAGGTTGACTGGAAGAAATCCCTTTAAAGGATAAGTCCGCCTGTGTACATATTTGTTAGAACCTGATATCTATATTATATATAGTAAATGTACGGAAGCATATAAATAAATAAGTCATTGAGGTGTATCTATGATATATCTTGTCGTTTATCGGTGCGTTCACGGTCGAAGTAGCTTATTGTTGTGGAGTAAAATATACGCAATAGTATTTTTACGCCAATATTTATACAAGACTAGCTTTTCCTCGCGATTTCGTCAGTGTAACGAGGACGTACATTAACCACGTATTCATTAACCAGAATAAAAAGTACTTTATGCCCTCCATCCCTTACAAAATGTACAAAATACGTAAATACCAGACTTTGTACAAAAGTCGTTTGCTTGGATACCTCTGTCCCATTCATGTTTTCTGGCAATATACATATAATATGCATCCATCAAAACGATATGGAACTATTATATCTCTGTTATTGCAATTCGAGAGTGCGAATCGTCTCAATTTTAATATCGACTTATTAGAACTTATTTCAAGAGTAACCCCACAGGTATGTTGATAATTTATACAGTAATCGCGTCGCGTTAAGTCCCAATCGTGAATTAAAGGACGTAGACCCGAACACATAAAAACAAAAAAAAAAGAATTTTATGTATGCAACTTAGAAGAGCAAAGTATAGATTTTCTACATTAACTACTCCAATTTTTTTTCAATGTGTGTGGCTATATATACACGCGCTACTCTGTGGTTGTGAGAAAACGTCTTCAGTAGCCCTCCGGTCAGAGAAGTATTATATTTCTCGGTCGAAACCATGTAAATATTTTTACTCACGCATTTTTAATTCTTTGGATTTTGTAGAAGCGTGCCACGTTTTCGTAGATAATCTATGACGATCTAGTTGATTAAAAATAATTACGACACGACAGAAATAAGGTTGGGATAGAGATGTCCATGCAGGCGACTTTTGTACAGTTTTCCTGATGCAGTTGTTTATTCTGGTTGCTTCCTATGAGTCTTTGAAACCATAAAATAGAAATAATCACGGACCAATCAAAAGTGTTGCTGTCTTAGAGGTTTTTGGAATTTCAAAAATGTTCACCTGCGCTATATAAAGAACCTATCTGCAAAATTTCAAGATTTTGTAGATAGGTTCACTTAATAAGTTTGCATTATAATATAAATATTATTTTATATTTTACTACAGTGTAATGTAATTTAAATATCTAACACCACACTTTAGTTATTTAAATTTATTAAAATGGTTTTTCTAAAAGCAAAACCCTAAACTACCTTAATGACATCTGGCGAAAATCTTTACAACTCGTGAAAGCAAATTTTCGTACGCGCTCCGCCGTGCGAATTCTCGAACGTTCTCCCCAAAAGCCTCCCTCATCCCGGCATCTGTCGGCGGTTACCGGGAACACACCGAACGTTCCCGACACCCCCTCCCGGTCCCCTGGTTAAAAGCCTATCGATCGCCCATCGCGCCGACACAACTTACGCTAACCGACGAAAGCACTGCCACGATTCGGTAAAAAATTATAAATAATTCAATATAATCTGGCCTAATAAAGAATTCCAAGATATCGCTATCGATACCAGTAAACGGTGAGTGAGACCACATAACTTGCCATTCACACTACAGCCCATTCATGGTGACGTGGAAAGAAACGCAATATCGTAATTTATGTCTTTTCTCGCTTTGGGTGTCGTGATTAAAATTTCTGTGCCTCTTTGGTCATTCACAATTAGTGAATGACCAAAGAGTATGTAGTGCAAAACAAATCATATCATGTATTTTTATATAATTTCGGTGAATAGTTAAAAATTGGGTCACACTTCCTTTCGTTGGTTACGCACTTGTGTACTCTCAGCTGTATTGTGCGCATAATAATGAAATCCTATTTTAATGTTGCTACTCTCAATTTTAATGTTTATTTGTTCATCATTCATCATTTCAGCCGTTAACTCTTACCTGATGAACATAAGCCTTCCCCAGGAGGGGAGTTTTGCCAGTAGTTGCCATGCTTTATTTGTTCAATTTACTTTATATTTATCGACGTATTTAGTCAATTCTTTTTTCAGTATGCTATATTATCAGGGTGTCGTCGCCCTCAAATGATAACAAGTGTAAGAAATATCTGCTAGAGAAATATATTGCTAAGCGCAAACATCACCTAATATAATAATAGATAAGCGCAAAACTCGGAATCGGTTATACTAATTAGGCTATTTTTTTAATATTTAGATACTTGTTGAAGCCCAAGAAAGGTTTTTATGAAAAAAAAACATTCATTCTCTCTATGAGTCATTTATTTGCATATTTAATATTCTGCATATATTTAGTACGCTGTTTTACCATCATAGGACGTACAAATATTATTATACATAATATTGCTTAAATTAAGTCCATTAATAATAATAATAACAATAATAAATGACTTGTGTCAATTTAAATACAATTTTCAATTGTCAATAGAAAAATATATAATAATAAAATAACTAAATTAGAAAAATTACCTAGAAAAAATGTAAAAAAAGCCATTTATCTTTTTTCTCATACATATATTTGACAGAACGACATCTATTCTATTAGCTAGTATTCAAGAAACTCCTAGTAAAAATCATTGACAAATTTTAATATTAGACCTCTCTGCATTCCAGAACAGTGTCATCCCCACGCAAGACTTGACACAGGAATACATAGACGATGATGGATCAGGCTTAGAACCTGACGAGAGCTCCGGCTCCGGTTGGGGCGCAGGTCCAGGAGTTGACGACGAGGACGGCCGAGGATCAGGTGACACGCCACCCGGGGACTCAGATGACGAAGACTACTTCGACCCAACAACAAAAGCTCCCACCACCCCGGCACCCATCAACCCGGATACCACCCCAGTACCTAACACCCCGGCGCCCAATACCCCAGAAATCGAATCCGTGGAAGATCCCAACTATGACATCATGGATGCGTTCGGAAAGTTCACGCCAGTCAGTGAAGATACCACGACGCCCCCTACAGACAATCAGATCGATGTAGTCATTCGTGAGTAGAGGCTGGAGCATGCCATTTCTTTGCGTATTATTTTCATTTATTGAATGGGAAAACTAACGATAAACCGAAAACACTTTTCTACCTTATTCTTCATATTCTTTCACTTATAAAGATGATTTTCAATTTACATTGGTTTATTGGTTTTGTCATTCAAATCGTTGACTTAATTTATTACAGCCTTCAGTGTTTTATATACTTTCATAATACAATTTATTGACATTTTTATTTTTAATTGACAAATATTCTTTACTTCGTATTCTTACTTTATACTTAATATTTATAAATTGACTAATTATAATAACTAATTATAAATTTACTAACTACAATATCTATTATTAGACTCTTCACATTTGTGACTAATTAACTAATAATTTGGTCATAAATTAATTTAAAAATTCTCTGTAACTAAATTATTGGCAATTATTGTATTAATTACATTGACATGCAGGATGCAATATTCAAGATTTCTCATAAACAATAGAATGACATTAATACTGCCATGACCTTGAATTAACAAGCTTTTTATCATCAACATGCGCATTTACAATGACAGTAAATACCTATCCACGGGACAGTTCTTCTCTGGACGCTGTGGGATACAGTAATTTATATGTCATAGAAGGAAAATATTCTATAATATTAATAATTTAATAATTATCTCTATATTGTAATTTGTAAACTATTGAGTTGCCTGCAAAAGAGCAAAGGATTGTGGTAAGTTTTTTTCCTAATAGTGTTTAGCTGTTTGCTACGTTTGTAATAAAGTTTTTTTTTTTTTTACTTGCATGAATTCATTCATCATCATGCAAGCCAAAACCATGATCGATTATCATAATGTCATTTTATATCGAATAATTATTCGCATGCCTATTGGTAATATAGCCCTAAATAGTTGTATTATCTCATAAACCCATTAGTTTAGAGGTAATTACCAATTCATTTATGACATTAGTAAATCTCATTGTTTTCTAGTCATCATTTGATTTTTCATCGATCGTCGCCTCCTATCCATTCCGAACTATCCAAAGAGTAATAGGTCCCAAGTCTTCGTCATCTAATATGCCTATACTTAAATCTACTAACAATTTCCTTATATATCACTATATTATTAAAATTAACTTATATGTTTTACTAATCAATCACATGTACAAATATTACTAAATTATTAAATCTGTACTTATTTAAGGTTTTATCTAATATTTTCTTTTTAATATTTATATATTTATTGATTGACTGAATTAAATTTACGAGACAGATAACTAATAGGTAAAAAATTTAATATTCTAGCAGAACTAATTTGGTACTAATGCATAATATTTAGTTGAATGTAGTGATTTCTGTCTCTAACACAAATTGAATTTTAACTTGTCAGTACTGCTGTTGATAAGCAATTTTCCAATTAGAAGTATGGAATAAAATCATTTATTAACCAACTGCAAAAAGAAGACGTTCTCAATTTGTCTCTACTTTTTTTTTTTGTATTTACACAATTATTGTTGATGATATCGTATATCATCGACAATATTTTAATATTTCTAGGGTGTACTCTAATGTTGGTCGCATATCTATAGTCTATACATAACAATTTAGTAATAAATTTAAGAATTTGACAAAGAAATTAATCGGTCAAGATAATTTCATTCGTTTATGTCTAAGTTCTTATGTTACAATTAACACTTAGTTTTTGATGAATACAGTTGAGGTTATAACGTCAAGTGTGAATAAACAAATCAATTAAATAAATAGCGACTGTAAACCATGTGTACAATTACAGCCACTCTGAAAAGAATATCTTACTAATAAGGATAATAATTATATAGAATCTTAAATTACTTATCTAATATTCCAGCTCGCGTGGCCAAACCAAGTGAAGGTAGCCCAGACGTGGTCGTCGGTGGCGCGAGGGACACGCCACCCTCGCGCCCAGAGCAAACTGACATCAGCATCTCTGGTGAAGACACCAACCCTGATACTGTAAGTATATCTTCATTTATACGAGTCGATATTAATATACGTGGCAACTCCATTTAGTCCTGCAATGACTACAGTCTGGCAAAGATTTATTCTAGGATTCAGTAACAAGATCTGTAATTGTATCCTAGAATAAATTTTTACTAGAAATGTGAACTATTTAATTGATTATAATTAATTTTTAAAACAGAAATACCAAAATCTTTGGGTTTTTTTATACAACTTAGAATGGCAAACAAGCTGACGGCCCACCTAATGGAAAGTGATAACCGTCGCCTATAGACAAGAGCAGTACCATGGATATAACAGAGTATACTGTTTCGCCCATGACATAATAACAGAAGATTTAATATATCTTCTTTTACTATATTATAGTAAAAGACCTACAGCCCAAATATCATAATAAAGGTCACTACAAATATTTGAAAGACCTCTTTATGCTATAACTCAAGAGGCAACTGGCCATAGGTGAGAGAAGGCTAATGGATCTCTCCAGTAAATCCAAATATCTCCGTCTAGTAAAAGAACAATACTTCTTTTCTACGTACGATGTCGTAAGAAGTGTAGAGGGAAGAAGTAGAGTGGTAGTAGTAAGCTAAACCGTAGGCTAGACCCAAGTTTAAAGTAGGGCAAAAGAACTTTTCGGTAGCACAAAGGCCATAATTAAGACTTCGAAAAGCGAATCTGTATAATTTTCTTGGGACTTTTTATTTTAAAGTAGGGTATTGCCCATCAATGCTCTCACCCTTAGCTACGGTCATGGTGGTTTAATACCCTTTTATTTATTACTCATTGTATGATTGCACGATGTTTTCTGTACAAGTAATCAGTACGTTATGGTCTATAATTAAAATTTGAATTGTAATTCAATAATATATCTTTTTCCTTTACCAATACCACTGTGCTGTCCTCAATTATAATACATGTTGACATTTGCCTCATAGATATTTTGTATGAGATAGTGATTTTCTGCATAATTAGCTCCAATTTCCAAAATAATACGTGTTTTATGTTTTTTTAATGAATGATAATGGAATGGTAATCCCACCTGCATTAACAGTTTACGCTGGCAGGGCATTAATGAAGGATAATAAGTGAGAATCAAAGGGCAGGTCAGTTAGCTGAAGATCGTGATGAATACACTTGGAATTCAGTACGATGTTTTCCAGGGAGGCCACGGGGAGGTCGACCTGATAGGGTATATTGTTAGCAAAATGGGACTGGTAGTCCGCATTACTAACAATCCTCTCCCCCCGGTGTTTTATATTTTTTTTATGGATGAAAATGGCATAGTAACCCCACCTGCGCTATCGGTATACACTGGCGGGGTACCAGTGAGAGGTGATAGATGAGAATGAAAAGGCAGGTCAGTTAGTCCACTGTGAAGAATTGAATGATAAATTTGTCACGATAGTTTTCAGGAGGAACCGCGTGGAGGTCGACCTGATGGAGTATATTGATAGCAATGGGGACTAACCTCCCCATTACTAACAATCCCTTCCCCCCGATGGTTTATGTTATGACGTATGAATGTGCATTACTTTGGTATTGTAAGCTTTAATTTTGAAATAGACATCGTACCATCACTACACTACCAGATCTACACCTGTGATAGTCACAAATTTTCTTCCCAACTGTCATTAATTTAAGGATAAATTATATATAAAATCATAGATATCAGATCAATCATAGTTATTTACGATTTCTACTGTTAACATTCCAGGATCACGAGTCAGCCGGATCGAATATAGAGTCGGATTCGCGGCCAGCAGATACCGACGTCTTCATCATGAACGCGAAACCCGAAGACAGAGCCACCAGCTTCTTCGCGCAGCCTGGCATCCTTGCTGGTGTGTACTTTACAATAAATAGTTATTTGAGTTACTGAAAGTCTCTTACTTCATTATCAATTCAATCGTTAATTGTCCATTGCTGAACATAGGTCCCCTCCTTAGGCTGCCATAAGCAACGATCCAAAGATACTTGCATCCAACATGGATATCCCAAAATACATATGATGCCTAGAGTACCCCCGTTGTTATTCCTGAAGTTTGAAACTTTCCTGTCCTGTATTTTTACTGTTATAATCTTCAATTTAATTCTACCGTGTGGTCCCGGCATAGAATGGGCCACCCTTTCCTTTCCCATGGGTGTTGTAAGAGGCGACTAAGGAAACTTAATAGTCGAAGGATTAGCCGCAGCGTATCCTCTTAAAATATCACCAAAGCCTATATGCAGTTGTCTTACACTACTAGAACCCCCCTCCCTCCTAATAGGTAAAGGTCTTTGTTCAACAGCGAACAGTTACCGGCTGATATGACGAAGATGATGATTCTATCTTTCAAACAAAACACAGCACACAAAATATGCGTTTACAATTAATTTTAATTCTGTAAGTGTGAGATAAGTTATTGTAGTAGACATATGTCTAGTTATATACACATATCATACTAATGACGTATATAAAGGTCAATAGATAATTCACAAATTAAAAGATACCAATATGAATCAGCCTTAAATCATATTCTTATAAATAGTGTGTCCAGTAAAAAACTTTGATGACATATTTCAATCGTGTGGTATTTGAAATATCTATGTTTATGATTTCAGCTGTAATCGGAGGCGCAGTGGTTGGACTGCTATGTGCAATCCTAGTAGTCATGTTCATAGTGTATCGTATGCGCAAGAAGGACGAGGGCTCGTACGCCCTCGACGAGCCAAAGAGAAGCCCCGCCGCTGCATCCTACGGGAAGGGACACAACAACCGGGAATTTTATGCGTGAGACGACACCGAAACCACAACACCACAAGTTTATTAGTCAACCAACCAACCGAGACTGGACATAGCCAATGGACAAGTCTCAATTGGAACGAAACTTTTTTAAAAATTTGAATTGGTATTGCGTTCCATTTCACGCACTCTTCAATACACAATCACTTATTTCGTTAATGTAACGAAATCTTTATCTCCGGCCTTGTGCGTGAACGCCACCTTCCACAATGCTATTTTACAATTTTATTGTTTCAATACGAACATACATAATGTACGGATTGTACTGTAAAATGTACAAACTTGGTACATTTAGTAAAGTTTGTCTTAACGAAGAGTCAGAATGCAAATTAAGGGGCAGTGAAATGTTAAAATGAATTATCAATTTGAAGACCAAATTTTATATGTAAATTCGTGAGATAATGTTTCGGGCATGAACCGGAAAAATTTGTCTACGCCGCGTAACAACAAGTGAAGCACACAAAGTGAGAAAGCTTACTTGTATATACGTGCCTCACTCACACTAACATGACATATTAGCTGCGAATGCGCAGTCTGACAGCGTTGTAATAGTTGTAAATTTTAAGTAAAAATATCACACATGCATATTTTTTTGTGGTGTGGTCACCAAAGCTTCACTTGTGTGCACAATGAGGCGACGCGCGATTGTTTTTCACGTAGTTTTCAGTAACAATATACCCGAGTGTTGCTATGATATTCTTCAAGCTTCGAGACCAATGTTGTTTGAATGTGGAAATATCATTGTTTGATAACATTTGATGCTGCATGAAAGATCTAGTGTGTTTTCTGTAAAAAAATCAATGTGCCATCTGTTTTTTTTTTAACTGTAAATTGCCATTTTCTCTTCGCATAGACTAATTTATAAAGTCAAAATTTAAGCGTAGATTACGTCCATATCTACTGATTCTTTTTGTATGTATATAAAATAAGAGCATGTGTAATGTATATTAAGTCTTCAGGTGTGTTGAAATATTATTGCTTCAATTTTATCATCGAAATTATTAAACAAAATATTTCTAAATTTTTGGCTGTTATTTACATGAATGGTTTGCTTATTTTTTGACATTAAAAACAAATGTTATGTTCCTTTCATGCCTAGATAGGTATTTTTTTAATTAGTCTTATAATAATATCTTTATTATGTAATCAATTGGGTTTTTACGATATTTTAAGTACTTTAGTTACATAAATTAATTTTTTGGCTATGAATTGATAAAGGAATTAATTATTTTTTATTTATATCCTTTTTTATGTGTTATTAGTCTTTCGATAGTTATTAAAACTTTCATTTTGAAAGTATAATAACATGAAAGCTTAGTTCGTTCATGTGTAATTGGTATGTTTTATGTATTTTACAATAAATACGTAAGTATATAATGTACCTACTAATAAGCAACGCTTTCTTTATTTAGAATCAAATAGTTATCTTAGTAATTTTATATTTAATGAAATGTCAACCAACCGTAGTCTAGTGTTCATCAATAATTCGATTTTCTTTTTAGATTTAATTTAAAAGGCCCTACGTAATAATAGTGGCAACATTGCGATATCCTATCGAATTTTGTTTATGTCGTTATTTTAAAATTGCACCCTTTTATCGAAATGTTTTTCTAATCGTTTTAACATAATCATGATTATTTTTTTTTAAGGAAAGAAATTTAAAATGAGAATTCAAATTACGTTTGGTTTTAAACTTCGAACTTAGCCTAACAAATCAAGCTAACGTCCTAAGTAAACACACAAGATATTTTTTTATTGTAATTAACGTAAAATTGATTACATTTGATTACAGTTAGTGGCACAATATAAATGAAATACAAAATTTTAAGGATATCGCAGCGTCTTTGTCCAGAAGGGCCTCTTGATAGCTTTTAAACTAGGTTGTGCAACGAAAAACTATAACCTAATTTTTATTGTTTTTCCATATAATAGATAATCATGGTTTATCTATTTACCTGTTGTGCCATCTCATTTATAAGATTTCTTTTAATTCAGCCTACAGCTTTCGAAACGGTAATGCATGCTCTATCATAAATTATTGTTATTAACTTTTAATAATTTATTGCTGCTAAGGAGGTCAATTAATTTATGCATAAATTATGGAATAAAATAAGATTAATAATCAGTGTATTTATTTTAATTATCAATAAAACTGTTGATAATTAGAATATTATTCGCAGAACGCGAAAACGATGTTAATTCCCATCGATTGTCTTGTCAGCCTATAAAAATGTAAGAAAACCATACAACGTGTATAAAAATAATTATAATACCTATAAATTATTTCTACACACATATCCCAGTTACTGAAATTTTAAAAGAGTATATGCTTATTAAATATTCCATTATTTGTTAAATGCTCTTGTAACAAAATGGGGGAGCCACTATCTATGCAAGTAATAACGTCGATAAATGAACTTACTTCTTGGCAAGTGCTCATTAAAATTGGATGGATAATACCGAAATACGCTAATAAAGTACGTATCGAAACATTTCATGAGTAAAAAATGGTTTTAACAAAATACATGTAAATTGTATTAAGTCTGAAGACAGGCGTAAATAAATAGACTTTGTTTCAGCTTATGTCAATTTTTATAGACTAAAACAAATTAAAAAATAGAACACAACATAAAAACATGAATTCTATCAATTGTATATAATTTAGAGTAAATATATTGCAAATCTGCATCGGGCGATTTTTTCCGTACAATTGTGTGAACACGAGAAAAAATCGCGAAAAAATCGCGCATTGAACATTCACAATGTATTTTAACCGTTACACCTATTTATTTTTATTTGAAATGGCAGCTAATTTAAGCAATTTACATATGATACAATCAAATTCACAATACATTCCTTGCGGTTTCATTAATAAATTTGAATAAGCTGTAGAGGGCCTAGGCTCGCCTAGTATTAAGGATTTGTACATTGTATTTGTAAATTCTTTTAGATTTTAAACTAAATAACTATGCCTACAGTAAATATATCCTATAGTTAATTACATTTACCTACGCAGACAACAGAAAATAAATTTTGTTACTACTTATTTTCTGCGCACTTGAAACATGCGATGTTAGTACATGAGACGGTGACCAGATGTCGCTAATGTGTTATACTCCTATATTTTGTATCCTAATAAACGAAATATGTATCCCTTTATAAAGAGTCTCATCTGGAATCTGTCTTACATTTAGAGTATATTAAAATGTATCATTTTCATGAAAGTAGCTTTGTATATTATAAATTATAATAAGTAATGCTAAAAAAATAATATCTAATAATTGGAATAGTTGCCGAATGAAAAAATGCCCCAAATATGTATATTGTTTGAGGGATTGTAATCATCATTATGTACCTACCTATATTTTTCTATTAATTTTTATTATATACTTTGGATATTATTTTCAATATTATACTCGTAGGTATCTTTAAATACATGACAATATTACGTTACTTTTAAATAAGACGTGTATAATTTTTAATTTAAAATTTCATTTTATTAAAATCCAAATCAATTATTCGCTTCAAAAAGCAGTAAGTATTGATTATTATCAATTTATCATCATACTTACTGAAGCTTTGTGTATACAAATTAAGGTTTTTGGTCACTAAACAAAATTAAACAAGAAAAACCATTCGATAATTTAGAAGTTTTGCTTGAAATTATCATTAATTACAAAATAATCAACAAAAATCTCTAGTCGCGTTCCTAGCGCCATCTAGTATTTCTTGTCTAAGTGTGTTCAGTGACCAACCAGCTTAATAGTTTTGTATACGCAATATATGTATGATTTTTTTTAATAAGTCAAATAACGTTGGTTGTTTACGCCTGTTAGTTTAGGTTAGGCTATACAAAATGGATGTCCACCTTGTAAATAGTGCTCCTTTACACATAGGTAAATATACAGGTCATTATGAATAGCATGTGTTTTATTTTATCCTTCATGAGTTCGACATCGTTCTAAGCATACTCCTATAACAGTTGTCAAGTCTCCTACCAAGCGTAGGAACTACTGCCAAACCCCCTTATAGAGGGGAGAAAGGGATTGTTAGTAATGGAGACCAAAAATTCCATTGCTAGCAATATATCTAACCAGGTCGACCTTCTCGTGGTTCCCCCTGGAAACTATCATGGTTAATTCCTGATGAATTCATCATGATGGGCTAACTAGCCTGTTTTCATTCTCATCAATCACCCTTCACTGGTGCTCCGCTAGCGTATCCCATTAGCGCAGGCGAGGTTACCATACCATTTTCACCCATAAAAAAAAACCCTTATAGAGAAAGCCTATGTTTAGCAGTGGATATTTGACGCCAGATACAATAAATGGATGTGTTCCTACAGAAATTATACAAAAAAGTTTTCTTAAATTTAAATTTTACGAGTTACTAACTTCTACCCATACTTGGACTTCGTCCATAAAAAGTATCCTAGTCCATCCCGTGTATACCAAATTTCATAGCTGTTAAGGCGATATAAGGTAAAAACAAACAAACTCACTTTCACATTTATAATATTAATAAGGGTGTTACTTTGAGTCAGACAAATATAATATATGTATATAAATAATATACATAGATATATAAGTATATAGTAATTCATATAAGGCGAAACAAAATCTGTCATTCCCTTTTTTATTACACCTATTGGTGTAAATTAACCTATTAATTAAATTAACAAAATATAAGAATGCAAAACTAATAGAGATTGATTAATCGATTAGCTAATGCTAATCAGTCATCGTCATCATACCAGCTGTTAACTTTCCACTGCTGAATCCTTTCCCTTGGGATATTGCCCCCAGGAATAGTTGCAACAGTTGACTGGCTCGATTACTCAGTATTCCTCAAGAATAATAGATCTCTTTTAGAGAGAAGCCCATCCTTGCTTACAAATTGTTAAACTAATCGCAGTATCTTTTAGAATATAATATATGTAAATATAACAATGTTAATTACATTTATTGGAATCAGAATCCTCTCTAATTCTTAATAGTTCTTATTATTATGCTAATACGTGTTATATAGTGGGTTTGTTTATTTGTTACCTCTTAGCACTTTAATAGTAAAAGCCTTTGCATGTAGTCGCAAGTAAGAGCATAGTCTTATTTTTTAATTTTTATTTTCGTAATTTTTTTTTACTTTTGCTCATGGCGCACATTTGTGTTTATTTATTGGTACGAATTTGAACTGCGGTTTAATACAACGTGAAAGTTTATCAATGAAAGTTTGGGTTTGCTGGAAGAAAACTATCAGAGTTAAGCTCGCCTTTGTACTTTTGTTTACCTCTGTCATATTTTTATAACTAATATGTACAATAAAGTATTAAATAAATAAATAAAAATGGATAATGATTTTGTACATAAATCGTCTGCTTGGGTACCTCTATCCCATACTTGTCCCATACAGTTGAGTTTGTATAGCTGTGTTTCTGTTTGACGAGGGAGATAAGGCAAAAAAATACACAATACACAAGTATAACATCTTAACCCTCAGGAATGGCAATGCATAAAAGGTACAGTTTATGTCTGTAGGCGACGGTTACCACTTCCCATCAGATGGGTCGTCAGCTTGTTTGTCATTTTAAATTGCATCAAAAACATCAATAGCTGTCAGAAACGCCTGATATTAAGAGCTGAGCAATTATAATGAAGTCGCGAATTACATTAATAAAACTTGTATTAATTTAAATCAATACATTTTTCTAAATTAATTTAAATTAAAAGAAAGTGTTAACCTCACCTGCTCAGTTTGTTTTATTTAAATTATATCATTTATTATAACTTCGTATATCTATAAATAATAAATAGTACACAGCAGAACAACAAGACTACTGGGGGGGAAAAAATACTACTAATAACACTACTGAGAATCCCATTGCTATCAATATACCCAACCAGGTCGACCTCCTCGCGGTTCCCCCTGGAAACTATCATGGTTAATTCCTGATGAATTCATCATGATGGGCCTGGCCTGTTTTTATTCTCATCTATCACCCTTAACTGGTAACCATTTTCACCCATAAAAAAAAACATAGGACTACTGGGGGAAGGGTTTGTTAATAATGCGGACTATCAGTCTTATTGATAGCAACATACCCTATCAGGTCGATCTCCACATGGCCCTTCTGGAAAATATTGTGCTGAATTTCAAGTATATTCATCACGGTGGACTAACTGACTTGCCTTTTCATTCTCATATCTGTCATCTTTCACTGGTGCCCCGCTAACGTATACCGTTAACACAGGCGAGGTTACCATTCCATTATCATCCATTAAAAAAACATAGAAATACTAATAATAAACATAAATAATAGACTACGAACGAAATAAGATACGAAATAAAATTCGTGACTAAACATTAAAATAATTATTAAGAATGCATCAAATAGCTTCATAAGTTATTGTTAAATTAAAATAATACGAAAGACTATGCACACATCGCATTATATTAATTGTCAAATATGTAACGATCGGTAACCTTTTCGTAACTTATATGATAATTTCATTTATTTTTGTCTAGGTAGCGTGGCCGAGTGGTCTAAGGCGCTGGTTTTAGGCACCAGTCTTAACGGGCGTGGGTTCGAATCCCACCGCTGCCATAGTCTTTTTTCTGTAATTTTATTCTTTTATTAATTTACTAATATTGTAACTAATTTATTATATTCATAAATAATTTCTTTTAATAGATAATATTTTATTTAATCCATTTTTCTTTACTTCATTTTTTATTCATTAAGGTTTACGTAAAAAAATTGTATATTATTTTTAAACTGCATTCTATCAAATCAAAAGTACCTATATAAAAATTTATTTATTTATTTATAAAAAATAATATAATTAAAAGCATGACCTAAAATCTAACACAGGGCACAGGCATTCTTTAAAAAAAAAAAAGGTGTAACCGATGTCAACGCGAGATAACGGATTCCACACAAATAGTATATTTGGACCCAATATTGAGGTTTTGCTTATAATTCGGTTTTAAGTTATAAAATTTTATAAATATAGGTGCTGTATAGCGTGCTCTTTTTTTATAGTAATATATTCTATAATTCTACTTTACACTAGTTAATACCAGTAATAAATGTAAATATTTATACAGATGTTTGATTTTTTTACCTGTATTATTCCTGCGCAATGATTTCATTATAACCAAAACTCAATGATGATTTTAGTAGTTTATTTCATCAAATAGGTACCATATTTCTTCCTGAGTTGACAACATTATGGCGGGAAAAGGATATTTTTCTTTTAGTACAGTAACGTCCCACCGATGAGCAAAGGCTTCCTCCTATTCTGCCGTATTATATTTGGATCAACTAGCGGAATATAGAATAATTCGATCATTCATCCAATCACTGTTGAGTGTACCGTTGAATTCGACTCGAATGTTTATAAATGAAAACAACATCCTAAATAGGCACTCAATATTGCTATTCACTTTGATTTATTAATACGGGCCTTAGGAACATTGGTCCTTTGTTTATTTATTAATTAATTTATTTTTTAGTATTTAGTTTTACTTTTGTTTCATTAGTGACATCTAGATAGGAATAAAGAGAAATATATTACATTTTTGTTTGCTCTCTCGCCACTTGGAGACTCGTCATATTCGATTATGTTATTATTATAATTTACTCGTATACTATCTACTTTTAAAAGATCAAAAATAGCGATTAAGTGTACTAATCAGGCCTTTAAATAAGTAGTGCGATTAATCAGTGAGAGAAAAGAGATTTATGTGGGTTATTCGAGGTGAGCGCCGATGCTCGGACTCGAATCGATATCGTATCGAATAAATAATTAATCGACGTCATTTTGTAGACAGCGGAATACATCCTTTAATATATTATATTAGCATAAATCTAGATTAATAACATTAAACAGATATAACCTATTAGACAAAATACACAGAGGTAAAAACCTCTATGTATTTTTGTAAATAACCTGTTACCTATTTTGTCTAATATCTCTATACTGGGCAGGAAGGGATTGTTAGTAATAGAGACTGAGAATCCCATTGCTACCAGGTCGCTCTCCTCGCGATTTTCCCTGGAAACTATCATGGTTAATTCCTGATGAATTCGTCATGATGGGCTAACTGGCCTGTTTTCATTCTCATCAATCACCCTTCACTGATGCTTCGCTAGCGTATCCCGTTAGCGCAGGCGGGGTTACCATTCCATTTTCACCCATAAAAAAAATATCTCTATACTATATATGTACTATGTATTCTATGTACTTTACAGATCTCTAGGGCTCCATAAAGCTAATAAGGATACGATCCGCTAGAATGAATAAATGGGTACTAACAATAAACACATTGCATTACAAAGTATATCTGTCAAATAACAAATGTAAAGGAATGTATTTTGGCGGGAATTATCTGTAAAATAAAATTGAGTAAGTATTAATTTTTAATATTTTTGTCAATTTGCAGTAGAATTAATTCAGTTTTAATTAAAAATACTTATTTTTCTTAGATTGCAAAATAAAACTTACTACTATTTTTTTTATTTTTTTTATGGGTGAAAATGGTATGGTAACCTCGCCTGCGCTAATGGGATACGCTAGCGGAGCACCAGTGAAGGGTGATAAATGAGAATGAAAACAGGCCAGTTAGCCCATCATGATAAATTCATTAGGAATCAACCATGATAGTTTCCAGGGGGAACCGCGAGGAGGTCGACCTGGTTGGGTATATTGCTAGCAATGGGATCTCCATTACTAACAATCCCTTTCCCCCTACTTACTACTATTTGGTTTTACATTGCTATAAACAAACTCACTTTCACATTTATAATATAGTAAGGAGTAAAGATTATACGGCCAATATGGCGTCATAAGACATAAATAAAGAAACGAAGCAGACTAGATACACCAGTGCTCTAGCACTTCTCTAGAAGGAATGTACAAAATAAAACTCTATACGAAATTGTCCAGTCAACATGGCAAGACATGCTGATCTACTATTACATTATGCATTTAATGAAGATTTAAATAAATAGATATATACTCACTATAGTCAGACGAAAGCCTACATTAGAAATCTGATTTAAATCGTGAGGCATTGTCAAGTTGATATTAATGATCTAAAGATGATGATAATTATTATCATTTTTCATACTACCGTTAGTCTCTATAGATATATTACTCTGTAAATATATTTGCGGACACTTGTGAGCCTAATCCATGACCAAGTTATAGATACAATTGTCTCCAACTGGGAACCAGTTCTTGCAAGAAAGAAAAAGTTTGCAACAACAACTTATGGTGACAGGGAAAGTCATACAAACTATAAGTAATCAACTAAAAGATAAACAGTGCCTACCCATAATCTTAGCAGCGAACTAACTATAGTTACGGGTCCATAATTTTATGTTTAAATGTCATGAATTTTGTCCAATTTTTGCAATTTAAAAATATATGAAACGACAAATATGTCTGAATACAAAAGCATATTTATTTGTATATTTTAAAAGCTATATTACAGTTAATTGCCGTGTAGTCCCAGCATAGAATAGGCCACCCCTTCCTTTCCCATGGGTGTCATAAGAGGCCACTAAGAGAAGATAGGGGATGGGCAGTAGCGTCCCTCCTAAAACATCTCCAAATTACTTGGAGTTAAACACTTTTTAATAATAAAAAAAAATTAACCAAAAAGGAGCAGTGGAGATCTAATTCATTTAATGTAAGGAAATATTTTACCTTTAACTGAAAATTTAAAAGTCACTGTTAATCTTACTAATACATTAAAATTGTAACTTAACGTCTGTACCCATATGAGAGATAAATAAGAAAAGTTAATATGAGAAGTTTTAATAACACCAAAAAGTGCCAGAACAATAATTTTTAAAAAAATTGTCTGTTTATCTGTCTGTCTGTTTGTATATTTGTTCCAGTATCACGTAAAAACTACTGAACAAAATTGAATGCGGTTATTTACAGTGTGTGTTTCCGAAGCGCTTGATACACCGTCTAGAATTGCTATATTGGTTTTATTACTTCTAAAATCAACATGTATAAAAAGCTAGTTTGTAAAAAAATATATTGTAAAAATTCTAAATATTGTAATAAATTACGTTCTAATTATTGTTTTATGTATTTCCCTATAAGATATAGTATATTTTAACAAAATGAACAACAAGGTAAACTAATATGAAGTCTATTATTTAAAACATTTTTTTTTATACCACGAACGAGGCAAACAAGCATACAGCTGTAATCTAAACATACAGCCATATTTCTGTTACTAATGGCATCTTGTGGGATTCTTTAACTGCTTTTATTTACTACAAATTTATAAGAATTAAAATATTTTTTACATCTTGTTCGTGTTTATAGTATTACCTTTCGAGGAATATATATTTAAATTGCTTAAGATAAAGAAGAGAATAAATTAAAACTAGTAATTATAAGTATTATTTGAAATTAAAATATGTTAATTTATTAATGGTATTAAAATTATAAAATATTAGTAAGATAACAAAAAACAAGCTTTTTAGACCAATACGAATATAATACCAGAGGGAGACTTTGTACAAAAGTCGATTGCTTGGGTACCTCTGTCCTATTCGTGTTTCTACCGTGAAGCAGCTGTGTTTGCATGGCTGTGTTTCGATTTGAAGGGTGGGATATGACGTGAATTTACTGGGTACAGAGGAAAAACACCTGAGTCCTTAGGAATGGCAACGCAGGGGGGGTATCGAGGGCGAAACAGTATACTCTGTTATGTCCATGGTACTGCTCATGTCTATAGGCGACGGTTACCACTGTCCATCAGGTGGGCCGTTAGCTTGTTTGACATTCTAAGTGGTATAAAAAAGAATTAAAAAATTACTTAAAACTAATCTAGCCGTTCTCAAGTGGCGTGCTTACTAACGAACAGCGCTAAACTTTTATTTATATAAATTATTTAACATTGTAGCGGTACTTGACTTCAGATGGACGGACAATCATATGATTTTTTGTTCAGAAATACCTAATTCCAATATTCCATCAATCTTCCTATAGTAGGTACAGCCAGTTTGAAGTTTAAGTCTGATTAGACATCAGAGAGCACATTGACCTCTAGTGCAGTTAAAGATCGTGACATGGTGTATTTTATTTTAATTATCTTTTCATAATTTTAATAATACCGTTCATAATTAAATCAATGTAACACATTAATTTAATTATTAAAGTCAGAGAGTAAGAATATGGCAAAGTAAATCGATTAGTCATTGTACATTTCTCCCTCTCTCCCTTCTTGAAATATGGGCGACCTCGTTAACGCCGAGCTAAATATGCTAAACCAAATCCAATTAATAAGTTTAGGTACATGATAGATACTTGACTTATTCTTTTTAATACTACTTAGAATGACTACAAGTTGATAATGGAAAATTATAAGGCTGAGCATATGCTAAAACAAAAATAATGCACAGCATAGTATATTACCATCGGGTAATACGTATATATTGGCCTAACAAACGGATGTGGTAAATATCAATCATTTAATATAATTGAAGTGTAGCATGTGTACACGATGTGTGGCCCCCGTGTAGTTCCGGTATAAAAATAGGCCACCCCTTTCTTTCCCGTGGGTGTCGTAAGAGACGATTAGTCGTCGGGAAGGAGAGGGATGGATAAGCAGCGTCCCACTTAAAACATGTGCAAAACCTAATTGCGGTTACCAATCCGCCTGCCAAGCATGGCAACTACCAGCAAAACTTCCCAAGGGAGAGATTTAAGTCCAGCAACGGACAGTTAAAGGCTCATAATGATTATAATGATAGGCGATATCGCAGTGGCCGACAACCTTTCTCTGCCATCAATATCTAAAAGAATCCAATATACCTATAAATATCGGAATCAATTCAAATCCCAAATAAAACCCATCCGTATAGCAGGAATTTATTGACAGTTGTGTCGCAACTATGTATCAAACCATACATCGTGATTTAAGTAAAACATTGTTGAAAACTAACACTTAATCTTTGACCGATTGTGCGAGTAAATTAAAAAAAAAATACATAAAAAAAATATAAAACATTCTCAATATATACCGTATGTCTTTGACTGATAGCAAATTAAAATTAAAAAAAAAGCTTTGGCGCCAAAATAATAAAAAAACTATTCAGAACGTGCATGTGTAATCTGTGCCGGCACTACAACGAATAACAGAGCCATATTCTGACAGATTCGAATCTAATTCTAATTCTGCATCTGAAACAGAATGTGTATGCCTGTATTCGCAAAATAACTTGAAAATTACCATTTCAAAATATGAGTACTATGTCGCACGAATTTGGGAAGTTTTTAACCCAATTACTTATAACACTGAAAAAATCGTGTTTCTACCGTGAAGCAGTTGTGTTTACATGGCTTTGTTTTGGTTTGAAGGGTGAGATACGGAAATGAAATTGCAAAATACAGAAACATAATACATGAATTCGTTGACCCAATAAGAGAAAACTCTTAAATAAGAAGAAGACATATAACACCTTAATCCTCAGGAATGGTAACACATTAAAGGAATCATGAGTGAGACAGAGGGAGACTTTATACAAAAGTCGATTGCTTGGGTACCCCTGTCCCATTCGTGTTTCAACCGTGAAGCAGTTGTGTTTGCATGGCTGTGTTTACTACTTACTTATATACTTGTAAAAATAACACAAAAATGGTTTCATTTTTGTGATTTCCGTATTTACATTAAAACGTATTCTCTCTGTTATAACGAAATTCCTATCAAAAACTTGTCTTTTGCATCGTATATTATATAGTACATTACCGAGACAAATTACCGTTTGATGTATAAAAGAAAAAGTAAATATGCAAATTTTTTATGTAATAATAAGTTATGGGTACACATGATGGTATATGGTAACCCTCACATGTATAGCTCATAAATATAAACAGTACCATTGACACCATAAAATACTCTGTGACTCCCATTGTAGGCCTTATGTGAGTAGTTTTCTGTGGACTAAGCTATTATACGTTCATTAATATTTAACCTTATTCCCTAATAGAGCTATCATTCAAAAAAAGAAGTTACAGGAAACGAAAAAAAAAAGAAGTCATGATAAATATCATTAATATTATAAATGTATAATTAATTTGAAATATAATTTCTACGCAAAATTAATTAATATACCTGTCCACTTATAAAATATTTTCATTTCTCGTTTATTATTATTTTTTTATAAAAAATCATAAACTCAATTAAAAAATCAAAACAAATTAAAAAAATGTTCTGCGATTCATTATTTTGATACTGCCAGGAACGAGTGTAGATTTTTTACATTAAAAAAATACATAACGTACTCTCCTACATTATAAAAATACGGTTTGAACTTTAACTCCGCAACATCGGTCAATGCACTCAAACCAGCTATGCAACTATAATCCCATGATAATCGTTCACAAAAATCAACCTTTACACTCATCTGTTAAAGTTTGCAAATTGAACGTCGCCGATTAATCTAATCTTTATAAATTTATGACTGTCCATCAACTGATTTATCTAGGTGAAGTTCACTGTTTTTGGGCCACTTGAGCGCGGGAGTGGTGGTCTACCATCAAAGTATATAAACGCGGAGAAATGCTCTCACTTTATCCACTCAGCTGTTTCATTTCGCACAATTAACTATTCGCAAATATGGCAGCGAAATTACTAGTAGCTGTGGCGCTCTTTGCTATGTGCCAGTCCAGCCCTGTTCTTATAAACGGTAAGATTTGATTTTTTGCAAATTTAATGCATAGTACTGTATTTTTATTATTGTCACTTATTATTATCAGTACTCAGATTTACTACGACATATTATATTGGCAATTTTAAATAAAGTCTAATTTAAATAAACTATATAAATAGTCTGAGACTACTTTTAATATTCTTAATGTATTTTTATTAATTTATTTATGGTTTTACTTTACAGGAGTACTATACCGTGATGGACGTGGCTTCTCTATCGGCCAGGGCTACAGCAGCACTTATGGTGGCATCAGTCAGGCGTCTGGTTCAGCAAGTACTAGCGGTGGTTCCGCTCAAGCCTACGGCAGTGGATCCACTGGCGCTCAAATTGCCCGCAATGACGGTTTCGCAGAGATCTATCCCGGACAAGCCGTTGCCCAGGCACAAGTTTACGATGCTCCTGAAATACCCTCATATGGTTCTGCTAAAGCAGTAGCTGAGGCCCAAAATGGAGCACCATACTACCCTGTCCCAGCTCCAGCAACTGTCATCACCTACGAACAGAACTTTGAAGTGCCCGCTGAAATCAGTTACGAAATCCCCGCCCAGGGTCCAGTCTCTGCTCATTCATCTGCTGTTATGAATGGCAATTCCGATTCGGCCATTTCCTCTGCAATCACCAATGGAGCTGGGTCAGCTCAATCTTCATCTCAAACCCAAAGAGGCATTGGCAGCTATGGTATTACATCTTCCAACGCGAAGACTTTCGGTTCTGGTTATGGATCCGCTGCATCAAACGCTAACAATGGGTATGGCTCTGCCGTAACTGCTGCCAGGACTCAAGGAATTGGTGGATTCGGTTCTGCCTCCTCACAAGCTCAAAACGGCGTAGGTTCGGCTCTATCGACAGCTCAGACTCAATCCAATGGTGGATATGGTTCAGCCTCTTCCACAGCAACCAACGGTGATCTCGAATCTACCATTGTCGCTGCCAAGACACAAAATTATGGTGCTAATTATGGATCGGCTAACGCAAACGCCAATGTAAATGGTCAATACGGTAGCGCTATCTCATCTGCTAAGACGTCCAACAAGAAAGGTATTAGCTGGCGTTTCGGAACCGCGTATGATAATCCATCTGGATCTGCTAACGCCCAAGCCAACACTCAATCCGGATACGGCGCTGCCAAATCAACTGCTCAAACATACAACAATGGTTTTCCCCAAGCAGGATACGGATCCGCCAACGCTAACGCTGACGTAAATGGCGCTGGTGCTGGCTCTGCTAAGTCTGCTGCTAACACTATGGGTGGATATGGATCCGCTATCTCTAGTGCCAACCTTGGCTCTGGTTACGGATCAGTTAAGTCCGCTGCCAACACACACGGATCAGTGTATGGCGGTTCAAGAACCGCTGCTGACGCTCAGAGCTCTGGATTCGGCAATGCCTCTTCGTCTGCTAAAACTCAAGGCTTAACAACTGGCTACAGGATCGCCAACTCTGCGGCCAACACATCTGGTTTTGGATCCGCTCACGCCAAAGCCCAGAGTATGTAAATACAAGTTTTACAACTCTATAAGCAATGATATTAAGACGACTTCCGGCTGTTGGAAAACTTGTCTTGGTGTTTTTGCTACAGTTTTATAGCATTTATAGATTAAGTATTTATTTATTTATTGAATGTGTCCTCTAGTTCATTTGAAGTCTGAACATTTGATAACATATTTTGAGACTGCTATTTATTTACGAAATAAAGAAAAATAAATTTATTTTAATTGTTTTAATATTCTATATAATAGCTACCTATGATCTTTTTACAAATAGTAATAACCATTTCATTAATTGCATATATAAAAGATATAGCGTTATAAATAAACGGTTCTGAACCACCATAAATGGCAAAGTACAATATTTCCGCTTCATAAACGAGTTGAGGTACTCATAGTAGAAGCTGTTGACTGATTTAGCGTAGAGATGACCTCGTCCATCAAACATATAGAATATAAAATCTATCAATAAGCAATTACATTAATTGATATGAGCTATAAAAATTATTTAAATTAAACGCAAGTAATCTAGTAGTTATATTTTTATAATATATATGCTAAAATTATAGTAACCGTACGTTATATTTTATGTATATATTTATCTATTTACACTTTCTTGTACGAATCACAAAAACGCCAACTCTTTATTTTCTGAAATATTTTAGCTACAAAAATTTTAGATTTTACTTACAATAAAATTGCTACTTCAATAGTAACAAAATAAATATACCTACACCAATGCGAGAGTTCTTTTAATAGATGATAATGAAATGGTAACCCTACCTGCGCTAACGGTATACGCTGGCGGGACATTAGTGAGGGATGAGAATAAGAAAATAAAAAAAGACAGGTCAGTTAGTCCATTGCGATGAAAACACCTGGAACTCAGCACGACGGTTTCCATAGGTGATCACGTGGAGATCGACTTGACAGGGTATATTACTAACAGTGACACTGGTATTTTTTATGGGTGAAAATGGTATGGTAATCCCGCCTGCGCTAACGGTATACGCTCGCGAAGCACCAGTGAAGGGTGATAGATGATAATGAAAACAGGCCAGTTAGCCCATCATGATGAATTCATCAGGAATTAATCATGATAGTTTCCAGGGAGAAACGCGAGGAGGTCGACCTGGTTGGGTATATTGCTAGCAATGGGATCAGTCTCCATTACTAACAATCCCTTTCCCCCCGTGAGACTGGTATTTCATATTACTAACAATAAATGCGAGAGTAAGTGCTTTTTATCAATTGTAGTAAGAATTATCATAATAATTCTACGAATTGGCGAATATTTTAGAGCAGAAAAAAAAATACAAAATAATACATATTAAATGTTTCTTCAGACTCGGTAACGCGGACGTGATATCGCTGGAGTTGCGGACGTTCATAGTCAACTGTTGCAGTAACCGTTCATTAAACATGAAAAGGTATCATTTTTGAAGTAATTTTTTTTTTTATACAACTTAGAATGGCAAACAAGCTGACGGCCCACCTGATGGAAAGTGGTAACCGTCACATATAGACATGAGCGGTACCATGGACATAACAGAGTATACTGTTTCACCAATGATACACCCCATGCGTTGCTATTCCTGAGGACTCAGATGTTATTCCTCTGTACCCTGTAAATTCACGCCATATCCCACCCTTCAAACCGAAACACAGCCATGCAAACACAACTGCTTCACGGTTGAAACACGAATGAGACAGAGGTACCCAAGCAATCGACTTTTGTATAAAGTCTCCCTCTGGTATCTTGTTTTTTTACAACACAGGGGGCAAACGAGCATGCGGCTCACCTGATGGTAAGTGACTACCGCCGCCCATGGTCACCCACAACACCAACGGCATTGTAAGTGTGCTGCTGGCCTTTTAAAAAGGAATATGCTCTTTTCTTGAAGGTTATGATGTCGTATCGGTTCGGAAATACTGCTGCTGGAAGTTGATTCCAAAGAGTGGTTGTTCGTAAAAGAAAGTGCCTTGAAAAACGCACGGTAGAAGACCGCCACTCGTCCAGATGGTTTTGATGAAACTTTAGTTAATGGCGGGTTGTACGGTGGTGAAATCTCTATTTCTCTCCTACTTACTACTACAGATTCTGTTTAATGTGAGGCTGCACCTTCTAATATTAAAAGTTGCCATTGTCACATTCATTATACACGATCTCCATCATGGGCTACCAAAGTTTCTATCCACCAGAGGGAGACTTTGTATAAAAGTCGTTTGCTTGGGCACCTCTGTCCCATTCGTATTTCTACCGTGAAGCAGTTGTGTTTGCATGGCTGTGTTTCGGTTTGAAAGGTGGGATATGGCAGTGAATTTACAGGGTACAGAGGAATAACACCTGAGTCCTCAGGAATAGCAACGCATGGGAAGTATTCCTAGAGGTTCTTAATTCTACTTATTTATTTTTATATTACTCGATATTTTTGTGTGTTTGATATGTGATTTGATTTTAATGAATTTTTTTTTCTACAAAGATTTATTTACAATATAATACCATACTAACTTTGTTTTAAATTGTACACTTTTTTATAAAACATACTAATAAAATAATAATATTATACTAAATAAACGAAGTCATATTGAACTAGTTAGTACGCTATACAGTACTATATCTTATTTACTTGACCTTTGTGATCTGCGACCGCTAGAACCGGTTCTAGTATCGCATTATAGACACCATGGGTGACGTATTCATTAGTTTTTGTTATAGATCGAGTATTGACCCAGCACGTAACTGTAAGGAGATTCGGCCACCGCTTCAAGCGTTACTTTGCAAATCCAATCCATCTTGATATAAATGGATGTTAGGAGGTCAATGGGTCCCTTTAAATATATTGACCGAGTGGTCATAGGGTTATTAATTCGATTTTTAAATGGCAAACATTAAAATTATTACATTTATAGTGAAGTGAATAAAGAGATCTGCAGGTGTACCATGAAATTAAATTCCGAAATTTCGGACTCAATTTCATGTTTTTGTTTATAAACAATCGATATTGGTATACCAATATCGGACCAATAAATGGAGTTTAACATTTCGGCCGTCATACATCCTATTATAAAAGTCCAAAGGAACAATATTTTAACATTTTTAATATTTCCAAACGGCACGTATTATGTAATTTTAACATCAAATTTCTGTTTCGTTTGGCTCCAAAATTTCGGAAAACATTTCATGGTTAGGCCCTCTAATCCTAGGTGGTCTAGCTTTTACCCGCAATTTCGCAATCGCGCCAAAAATGTTTACCGACCGAAATAAAAAGTAATCTATGTCCTTCTTTATCCTATATTGACACTTTCGAGGTGTATTAAAGTTCAATAAATAAACATACCAAATTTTATAGTAATGGTTAAGCCATTAAGACGCCTAGAAAGGACGAGGAGAAGGATATTATGTACACGAACAATAAAGAATGGAGAAGAACATAGGCTACTCTTAATACTCTACTAATAACATATCCTGGTCATGCAGACAAAGTCGCGAATAGAAACTAGTAGGGTTATACTTATTCATCTGCCTTCGCTTCGACTTGGCATGAAGATAAATTCAATTGCGAACCGATGAGTTATACAAACATCTATTTTCAGCTTCTTTAATTTATTATCGTCATTCTATTATAACTTTACAACAGTAAAATCCATAAAATAAATCTATAAATTAATATTTCATATTATTGTCCATATTTTTAACATCAAATAAAGAATGGTGTTTGTTTATAGAAGCCCAAATTATAATTTTATTAGTTGAATAGCCATAGAAATAGAAAAATGGACATTATATTATAAATTCGTGGTTCTGTAGGTGTAAATATTTATCATGTTTATTTTGTTTAGCATACACGCTTACATTAGCCACACCTTCCTTTCTCGTAGGTGTCGTGTCCTTACATACGAAATTGGCGTTTTGTACGGGAGGAATATAAAGTGATTTTTTTTATTCAACTTAGAATGGCAAACAAGCTGACCGTCGCCTACAGACATGAGCAGTACCATGGACATAACAAAGTATACTGTTTCGCCCATGTTACCCCCCCTGCGTTGCCATTCTTGAGGACTCAGGTGTTATTCCTTTGTACCCAGTAAATTTACGCCATATCCCACCCTTCAAACACAGCTGCTTCACGGTTGACACACGAATGGGACAGAGGTACCCACCCAAGCAATCGACTTTTGTACAAAGTCTCCCTCTAGTGGTCTAAAATATATTTAATTAATCAAAGTATGCACTGTTATTATCTATGCACTTTTGCCATTTCATAGGTAGTTCACTAAAAAGAAACCATGGAGGCGAGAATCAATAAAATCTTTGAAAGCAGTTTGGACTGCCGCATCGGAGTTGAATATTTTTCCTTGCAAGAAGTTGTTCAAATTCCGGAAAAAAATGGTAATCTGTTTGAGCAAGGTCCGGGGAGTACTGTGGATGTCGCAGACATTCTAATTGTAACTCATGTAACTTAGTGGTCGTTTGTTGTGCAGGGTGTGGTCTTGCGTTGTCGTGAAGCGGCAGTGGCCTAGAGCGATTGATCAATCTCGGTTATTTAGCAACTAGTTCTTCCTTCATGGTTTACAGTTGCTGACAATAGATATCTGCTGTAATCGTTTGGCCAGATTTTAGGGAGCTGTAGTGAACGACATCGGCGCTAGTCTCCCTGATTCTGCGTACACTGTTTAAATAGTTTTAATAATTGTTTTAATAATTCTAGTTCTTGTGCTGTCAATTCTATTAATGTAAAATCGATGTCTTTGAAGGAGACTTTGTACAAAAGTCGATTGCTTGGGTACCTTTGTCCCATTGGTGTTTCAACCGTAAAGCAGTTGTGTTTGCATGGCTGTGTTTCGGTTTGAAGGGTTTTTTTCGGTTGTTCGGATATGGCGTAAATTTACTGGGTAGAGAGGAATAACACCTGAGTCCTCAGGAAAGACAACCCAGGGGGGGTATCACGGGCAAAACAGTATACTCTGTTATGTCCATGGTACTGCTCATGTTTATAAGCGACGGTTACCACTTTCCATCAGGTGGGTCGTCAGCTTGTTTGCCATACCAAGTTATATAAAAAAAATTGTCTGCATCTGTAATTGGTGTAGATGCAAGCTCTATATTGTCAATTAAAATTTATGTCTGTGTTTACACTATTGATGTACCTTTTAAAACAAGTTAATATTATTGAAAGTGAGACGTTAGTTATTCATAAATTTACATAATTC